AAACAGAACGTTAATAGTTTATTTGTATTTTTGGCTTTGTTGATGCTGGTTTTAATCCAAATCTTTATTGATTTTAGATACAACTTTGATTTGTCAAAGAAAGAAGCAGAAGCACTAGAAAGCATCCAAAAGAATGATGTCAATTGGTACAAAACGTATTTGCATCAATCATCTCCCAAGCGTCGGAGGCTCGCCATTAGAGTGTGGGGTTGCGACACGGACTTAAAAGAGGCAGAGATGCAATCAGAATATGAGCAAGTCATTAAAGACATCGCAGCTTTTAAGATGACCTCTAAGTCAAATCGAAGGTTTGAAAAATCGATATTTCATTTTCCACAGAAATTTCCGTATTTTAACCCTATCAATATCGAAAGAGGGGTGTCCTATCTTTTCAATAAAATATCTGAAAATTTTCCATGGAAGCTTCCGAAAATGTCAGTTCTTCACGGGAATATTGATATTCGTGAAAAACAAAGTATAAAACGACAAAAATTCGCTGAGTTTACGAAAATTTTATGGAAATTCTGTAAAATATCAATGAGATTTTAATAAAATTCTGCTACTCAATATACACATAGATGTAATATATCTATATTTTTTTATGCTAAACAGATATGTCTATATTTATATCTAGTTACCTATATATTTGACATCTTATTTGAATATGGTCTAATTTATGTATATTTACTTTTTTCTAAAACTTTTTTTTTTTTACTCAATTTTATATACTTGTATCAATTACATATGGTATAAGAAGATAAAATAATCATTCTTGGTTTAAAATTATATAAGAAAATTACTTAAAAGTCCATATCTTGATATCGGATACAGACTTTAAGTAATTTAGCAAATATATATATATATATATGTATGTATATCTTGGTATCAATATTGTTTAAGCCAAAAAAGTATTCCAAAAACACTTTGGACCTCCTAAAAGCTCTTTTTGTTGTTGTAATTTTCTCTTTATGAAACATAGTTGTAAGGTGTACGTAGGTTCAATTTTAATATGTTATTTCTTAATGATTTTGTTTGATTTGTGAATATATATACTCATCGTTATTGTATTATAATCGTTCCTTATCATTGACGTTTACAATATACTTGGTATTTGATTGATAATTTCATGTAATTTATGTTCTATTAATCGTGTTAGAGTTTTTAAAAGTTTCATTTAAAATTTGAGCATGCTGAGATAAATTTCTGTATTTTACATCAATTTTTACTAATGTCTATATTTTCATCATATTCACGCATCAATATTTCCACCTATTTGGTTCTATCCAACCATTTGTTCAATAACCATTATCAATAAGTGATGCGAATTATTATTATGTCTGAGGGACCTGGATGGGGCAGCTGTATCATGTCCCAAGGATTTCTAAACTGTCATTTGCTAAACTTTGAGGAAATATTTGTTTTGAAATTAATGACTAACTTGTAGAATTAGTGTTCTTTGCAGTAATTAATTCTTTCTTCTTTAGTTCCAGAAATAAAAGTTTACATCGAAAAAAATCAGGGCTTTCTATTAATTCATTAGCTGCAGCTTATACTTTTTCTGTGCACGGGTACATTTTATTACGCAGCGCGGATAATGAATTAGGAATTTATCACAAAAACAAAAACCATTGAGATGAATTTTTCATACAATACAAGTTAGAAAATCTTTTTGTGCATGCTAATTAATTATTAGTTATTACATAACATAAATGAAAGACTTTTCCAGCCTAGGCTAGCTACGTGGATTAACTACACACACACACACATATACATATTCTGCATGCCTATATGCACTATTAGTTCACACTTTATTATGGAGCGAGTGAGTTGATCTCAACAACCGAGATAGTGCAAATTCAATGGATGTTGCAGATAACTTAAACCACACTGCAAAAATCAAAACCAGATCATATAGTTAAGTACTTATAAATCTACATACAAGGGGAAAGAAAAATGCTAAACAATAGAATCTAATTATGAATCACATCATGCAATAATGCATAAAATAATAAATCAATCCGAATTATGTACCTAGAGCAGTTTGTGGAGGGATAGACTTTGTAGGGACAAGAAGTGCCACACAAGCCAGGAAGCTCGTTAATCCGATCGTAGTCGATTCCAGGGATCCCAGCAGCCCCATCCTGGACACAAGTACAAGCTGCCCTTATGTCATCTTTAGTCTCTTAAGCCGCGCGTTGAGCTCGTTGATCCCGTTGCAGCACTCCGGCGCCACAGTCCCCCCCGAACACGCCGTAGCTGATGCATGGGGTCAGCCACTCCGTCACCTGCTCACACGTTAAGGTGGCATCGGCGTGGATAGTGGTAACAAGTGGCAGCACGGTCAAAATTAGTACTACAAGCTTATAGTTAGCCATGTTGTGGTAGTAGTGGTAGACTAGTACTAGTCCTTTTTAAGTGGTACTTCTCTATGGTGAAAAATGAACATGGCTACAGAGGTTTATATTTATAGAGTGGCAGATAAGGATGTGGGGCCAAAGCGTTCTTGGCAGTTATTGCAATTTGGCTAATAAGTAGCGAGATTATTCAGAATCTTATCGAACAAAGAAGATTATTCAGCATATTACTTAGGCAGTTAGATTTTTCTTCTGATACTGGTGAAGAGTTGGAAATTTCTTTCGTACTAAATATGGAAAAATCCAAAAAGGCTGTGGAATATCGTGGTGAGCTGCCTTGTCGAAAAAATATATGCATGCATATATGGTTCCGTGTGTGGGGGCGATATATATATATATATATATATATATATATATATCTTTGATATTGATGGGGTTATAAATATAAACATGCCAAACGATGTAGCTACGTGTCAGAGGTGAATAGTCTTATAAGCTTGGACTGAAAACTACTGTGGAGGCTATCTGATACACGGAAATGGGTGGTTAACTTGTGCATGTGTTTGTTTTTACGTGTGCTTTGTGCTGACTTCATACTAATTTAGTTTTTGCAAGAAATTTAGGTTCGAGGAAATGGAACATGCCAAAATCCAACTCTTACTAACGGCCAAAAAAGGCAATTAGGGAAGAAAATTAATATTAGCTTACGTAAGAACCACTAGCTATAAGAAGATAAAATAGAGAATAATTCTATATTAATTATATCCATCAAATATTGACTTAGTGATAATAATAAGTTTTTAACTAATTAAAAAGTTTGATACTAATTAACTTTATGACGCATAAATTTTATACAAATAACTCACGCAATTTTTTATACCTCCGATTCAATCCAACGATGTATATTGATGCATCTAATCTAATACAGTTGTATTCTACTTTTTCAATTCAATCCAATTCAATGAGCATTGGTTATTCATTGATGCGATCATCGGATAATTTTCTGACCTCTGCAGCAAAGAGCCTAACATTGCTTTAATTGTCACACTGGATAAATTTCCAATGAAAATATCTTTACGCGTGCACTTTTCTTTTTGTGTTTTGGTTATATCGTATCTATCGGCATTAAAAAAGGCTACGTATCTCCATGGCTGAATATTATTGTTTTTAAAAGTGGACTCATATAACGGATTATTTGTTTTCGTCGCCTGATAATTGATTAGTAAAAGAACATTTCTTTTTGTTTTTGGTAAATCATAATGGACTAGAAATTAAAGATTACTCCATCTGTTAAAAATTAATTTTGAGAATTTTCAATTAATGTAGTAGTTGAACTTTGGTTACGCTGTCCAGATTGTTTCTCATTTCGCATTTAATGTTGCTCTAGAATTTTCTGTGGTTGTATTCCTTCTTAAGGTTGTAAGATGTGGTCCTCTAATATGCCCAAGTAATACAACACACCTTTTTTGTCTTCCCCTGCTCTCCTCTAACTTTTTCTCTAATTTCCTTTTACTAAAAAATCTATCACCATCATGGTTACCACTCTAATCTCTATACAAATTACTAAATAATAGAACCAGGAAACCAAGTTCTATTCATGGGATTTCTAATATTAGACAAACAGGTAAAAATTACACAACATGGCATGTTCAAAAGGTCTCATCCATAGATAACCTTGGCCTTTGATGCTTTCCTTATATTCACCAGAATCATATTATTAAGGACAGCGCAAAAGCGAACTGAAAGGCATGGATAAATACTCCTTTTAAGTCTGAAAACTGAAGGATGCAGGTGGAGAAGCTCAAACAATCCCTTCAAGAGACCAACCTAGGTTTCTAACTAAGTAAAAGCAACAAAGGAAGGTTGTTTGGTTATAGAAATGCTCAACACCAACAAATATAGAACGTGCGGAAGAGGAATAAATAAGAAATGAGCTTGTTTGTTCATAGCAATGCTCAACACTGCCAAAGAAAGGTTATTCTTTTACAGCTCTTCTTCAATAGCTAGCCGTATCGCTACCAAAGACAACAATTCTCACTCTCAAAATTCAAGGTTATTCCTTCCTCACGCTAGCAAATTCAACCATTTCCCAGCTTGAATGTCCTTCAATCCATAAAAACGTGCAATCCCATCTTCAATTGAGATCACTCAACAGATCCATTCACTTGAAAATTTGTGTAAAAGTTGAAAATTCTACTTTCTAATAGAGTCGTTAATTCCTCAATTCTAAAAAATAATAATAATAAAAATTAAACAAAATTCAAGACGAAATTTAAGATCAATAAAACGAATAATTCCGAGAGAAAAGAACTCTGTTTGCAAACATATTTATCCACTATTTTTGGTAAGACGGATAGCAAAGAGCAAAGAAGGAGAAGTAAAATACTTAGGTGAAGAAAATAAAATTGTAAAGGGGAGATTTTCTCTCATGATATTTGATATAAGAGAGAGAAAATTGAAAAGAAATTGTCAAATTTAGTGCATCTTACAATAATACTCCTATATAAATAAAAAAAAATGATGAATAATTAAGTTTAAAATAGTTATTTTAAACTTCATTTATTTGTCAAATTTTTTCACTCCCTTTCTTTACAAAATTAGAAGGATTAAAAATTAAAAATTGGTGAAGGATTAAAATTGGTGGGTCTCAAGAATTTCTATCTTCCTTCTTTATTTCACCTCTTTCAAACAACCCGAAATTCCATTATCCTCTTTAAAATCATTCCTCTAATTTCTACTCTACCAAATACAGTATTACAATGGTTGGTGAGTGAGAAGAGATTCGTCCTTAAGCACTCAGATTTCTCATTCCACAAATCCCCGTCATTTTTCTTTTCATATGTCAGGATTCAAAGTCAGTCTAATGGTGGTCAGAAGCAAACGAGAAGAAAAGGAAAAGAAAGAAAATGAGTACATCATCAGAACGCTGTTTACTTAAAAGTCCCCAACGTTTTTGAGCTTTGTCTCACCTTGTTGAGGACATGCTTTCGTTTCATTTCTGTTCGTTGACTTTTTTTTTCATGGCTGGATTTTGTGCTATTCGCAATGAAAAAAGATTCTTCCTTCTATCAAAGGCGGTGGAAGCGCTGAACTCCTCTTCTGGACCTGGATTTACCCCAGCTCCTAAGCCGGAGCCTGCAACCTGGGGAGGAAAATTTATATAACGAAAACTATTCAAATTGCATAAAATGCTTTATAGAAAAAAGCAAGAGAAGCATTTGATTGAGGCTGTAAAAGTGAAAAATCTAGAGAAAATGGATCATTCTGTTCGTTTAAACTTGCGTTTATGTGTTATTCAACGATAAGAAGTTGACAATGTGCCAAAAGACGGACAATTATATGAAACATACAATACATTCCTTGAACAAATATGCAGATAAGTTATACCAAACAAAAAAACAAAACAAAACAAAAAAACAAAAAACAAAAAAAAAACAAAAAGAAAAAAGAACTTCGGTTAAGAGAGGGATCTCAAGTAGTTGATTCCTGCCCTAGAATATCCCACTGCTACTGTGTTACATAATGCTGCTTGCATGCATGAAGTTCAACCTAGGCACATTAGATGAGCAAAATACAGCTACAAACCCAGCAGAATGTGAGCATATGTACTTGATGCAATACATGCAAGAACACTATAACAGGAACTAAAATTTATGTTTACAGGGATAACCTGAGTCTAAAAACTACCGATATCTTTACACATACAAGAGTGTCAGATATGTAACTATCGTGTCATGTTTCTCCATTTGTCCTTCAAATCGACCTCTGTTCTTTCTTCAAATATGTCACTGTACAACTTCAAAATTAGCTTCCAATTTCCCTTGCCGTACCTACATGAGAAAGCAACAATCATAAGGACAGAAGAGCTTCACAAACTACCATCACATCGTACTTTTCACTTAATTGAAGTTATATAAAAGAACGGAGTTGACTTTAAGTTCTCAATATTATGGATATACTACCGAACAACTTTGTGTGCTAAATTGGAAAAGGAAGCAACTACTCAAAACGGATACTAATATGTACTTGCAAGGGGAAAACACACATACTTCTGTACACCGTCCCGTAAAGTGTCTTCTTCCAATAACGTCCACCTCTTAACTTTTCTCCTCTTACAAAGTTTTGTAGGTTCATACTTCTTCAACGGAGAAAGAGCCCTTTTCTTTGGGCTAGGTAGGTGGAGTCTGTCCTTGCAATTCACCATTGCTTCAGGTGAGTCATCAATTGAATCATCCCACTGTGAGAGTAAAATATAGATTAAACACTTTAATGAGGAAAACAAAATTAATAAAGATAATGACACAGAAATCTGCCCTTCGATGCATTTGCTTTAATTGCTTTAATAAAATAACACTCTCTTAATCACTAGCATCTATCCTAAGACATTTAACAGGGACGACAATCTGAGTATACTTCAACCACATAAGCATTCCTTTTCACTAAAATTATCTGCAAATTATATTTCATTCAACTTATGATACATATAAATGGTTTTGAACAATGTAAAAAATCAAAATTGACACTGGTGAGATGATACCACTCAAAACTGACAGCAAACAAGGCCTAAAAGTTAAAAACAAAATTTTTGCGCATAGTTATGCACAACACCTCGAAAATTACTTTTTCCTTCGGTTTGTTAGTAAAATATTGTTCACATAAATTACCCAAACTCTATGTCATAGAAGTCACAGAAGTAAATCAGAAAAGAGAAAAATCAAATAGAATTACCTCATACGTGTGGGCAGTATTATTACGTTCCATCAAGCTGGGTCGAGGGACATTATTCGGATAACTGGAAGAAGGGTTCCCAAGATTGACATCACAAGATTGCACAGGCTCAGTGCACGTGTGAATTGATGGATTGGCTGCATCTGCCTCTGTTCTCCTCTGATTTTCCAAGGGATGCTCATGGATCACATTTTTTGTGGTCAAGTCAGAAACAACAGTTTCGGCCTCGCGTACTGCCTCCGGAAGTGGGTCTGTCACGGCTGCTTGTAGGTCCAAAGAACTGGATTTAAGCGCTTCATGTGCTTCATTAACTTCAGGAGTTGGGATGGAATTGAATCTGCGGGGAGATGCATCTGTTTCCAAATCCTCAACGTCACTAATCCTAACAGGTCCTCTAATCCGTTTTTGGAAACCAACGTGCTTGCTTCTAAGCACCACTTTTTCTCTTGGAACTTATGTATATCAACGTAAAGAACAAAACCACATTGCAGAATTTAGTTGTTAAGCAAGGTGCCAAACAAATATCAGGTCTCAAGAAATTTCCTTTGTTCAAAGAAAAATGACAATATGGAATAAAAAAAGCTTTTCTTCATTCTCTTTTTTTTTTTTTTGGAAAAGAAAAACGAAAAATGGTACCTTCACGTCAATGAATAACCTTTTTTCTAGAGGGAATCGAAAAATGGTACCTTTATCTGTGGTGGCAGGTCCATTCGTGATGGCTAAATCAGTATTATTACCAAGCAAAGTAACACCATCATCAACAGCTAATCCGATATAACATGCAAATAAAGCATCAAGCAAATATTAGCTTCGCACACATAATTTGACCATAGAAAGAAGACAATTTAGCATGAGAAAGAAAACGAAAAGAAAAAATAGAGAGAAAACAAGATTCCCTTCTGTGAGTAAGAACAGAGAAGTCCAAAACATTCAAAAAAAGTCATATAAAGGAGCAACCTTTTCTCTGCGCGGTACCTTAAACAATGGTGGGAGGTATATTAACGAAATACCACCACCATAACTGTATATAACACGCAAGTAAACATCAAGCAAATACCAAGTCTCCAAACATATTAGCTTCTAAAACTAGTACAACGTAGCATGAAAAACAAAAGAAATCATTAAAAATTAAGTCTCCAAGCATATAGAAATAAGACAATCTAACATGGGAAAGTAAAGAAAACATTATGGAACAAAGCACGCATTCAAATTCATATAAATGAGCAACCTTTACTAGAGAGAAAGGGGGAAAAAGGTACCTTTGGCAGTGCTTTCAGGTTCATCAATGACAATCAAACCATCAGAATCAGGCAAAACAACACCATCACCAACAACGTTCTCTCGAACCCGATCATTCGCCAATTCTCGCAAACCCACCTCGTCCCTTAACTCAGCCCTCAACTCAATCAGACCGTTCAAACTCCACCCCCGGCCACGAGATTCTTCACCATTACCATCCTCTCTAAATCTCTGTTTGGCGCTCAACCTAGCTGCCCAAGCCACGAACGACGGGCCCATCAACGCCCACGCCTCCTTCAGATAAGCTCCGAGCAGCATCAGAGCGTCTTTCCTGGTGTTGATTCTCATCAGCTTCCTACACACGCCCTCGTCCCAAATCGCCGCCTCGACCTCATCCCAGCACCGCCGCAAATCGCTCGAGAGGAGCCGGCTCTCCCGCGCAGCCGCCGACTTCTCCATTCGGCCGACTCTCCCTCTCCAGATTCTCTTCACGGCGTTCAGGAACTTTCCTCCCGGCTTGCCTCCATTGCCGACCAGGACTCTGACCGTGCAATCCAGCGCCACCGCGCAGTACGCCGCTTTCATGGAGTCCCCCGCGGCGGCGGCGGCGGAGCCTCGCCGGGAATCCAATTCCTCGATCAATTCGAGGTTTTCGAGAGCGGTTGAAGTGACCAGACCCTCCGAAACCTCGTATTCGATGGTACGGAGAAGCACGGTCTTCTTAAGGCGAGGGTCGTCGTCCGGAATGGGGAGAACAGCGAGGGCTCTCTTGGCGAACGGCTCGTCGTCGGAGTTTCGGAGGAGGAACTCGAGAAGCCACCGAGAAAGGGTCTTGTCCGGTTCGTCCATGGGTAGAGATCGAGGAAATCGAAACGTTGATCACGAAACGAAACGCGTAAAAGTTAGGGCTTTTTCAGTGTTACTGGTTTGGTGGATGATGAAATGCTGATTGATCCTTCGGTACTCGTGAGATTTTCTGATTCTGAAGAAAACTAACGACTAGTTGAGTAGATTGTCGGAGAAAAGCATTTTGCCATTGGTGACGATGTGGTTTTAAGAACAGCGGCACCCGTTTACAAATGTAAATGACAGAAAATTCTGATTTTTTTTTTCGCGGAATGAACGACATTTTTTATGAAGCGAAAACAATTTTGTTCCAGATGTCCTTCACCAAGAAAAACGACACCAAACTTCAAACGTCAACTGCAACTTTGTTCTGGTCTAGAACAGCACGAGAACCAATATATAAAATAGATACATGATGCTAAAAATTATTGAGAATTCACGTGGACGCCCATTAAAGAATCAAAAGATTTTTCAATTTAAGGAATTCTCATGTTGTTTGTTCTCAAGGAAAATTAAATACAAAACCATCGCCAGTTAAAGTTGGGGATTGTATCTCATGCATTTTTTGAACGTATTTATAGTGATATATGTTAGCCCATTCATTTAACATATAATAAAATAGTAAAAATATATTTATAATTCACTGAAACGATGATGTCAAATAGTAAAACTATTCGGATCAGTAAACTTCTGATTTATTATTGCATGAGTTTCAATTGTACCAATATTTGTGACGTACAAACTGAAAGAAAATGTGGATAGTTTTTCCAATACACATTTTTTACCCGTTATAATAATTGTGATATAGAGATATTTAATATTCTCCTCATTTACAATCTTAGTATGATATCCATTTCAGCGAATATCTTTAAAACTTAACAAGTTTCTTCGAGACTTATTAGAATATAATGCACCATCTATAATAAATTTTGTTCCTCCAGGTAATATGATATTGGCTCTTCCAGAGTCTTCAATTAATTTCGTACTACCAGATATTGTATTAACATTTGCCTCTTTCATAATAAGAGAGGCAAAATATCTTTTATCTCTAAGTATAGTATGCGTTGTAGCACTATCTACGAGACATATATCTTCTTTATTGATCTTGCGTCTAACCAATGACTAGGGAATATCCATATTCTTCATTGAAAAATAAAATGAAAAACATCAATAACTAATGTAGAAAAAATGAAACTTAAGAAATTACATTTAAAAAAAAAAACATACTGAAAAATAAAGAAAAACAAATAACATATAAATAAATTATTCTAATGATTTGTATCCCCTGTAAAATAATCAATCTTCATATATGATTCTTGAAAAAATCTGTTGCATCTAGATGTGTCATACCATTCAGGCCATTAAAATTAAGTATATCATCAAGGCCTGCAAAGTCATCATCATTTTATTCCAAATTTGCTTCAACATCTTTTGTCTCAATATCATCATTCTGAAAAGTCAAATTGGTCTCTGCATTGTTCCCCTTCTTTTTTATTGAAGCTTGATGTAGCTTAACAAGATGTTCAGGTGTACGACGGGTACGTGACCAATGACCTTTCACTCTATATCGATAGCATAAATTATCTCCACTCTTTGAAGGATTACTTGGAGCATCTTTATTTTTTTCTTGTTTATCACTATTATTCCACTTCTGGTGGTGAGAAAATTTTTTATTATAACCACCACGATAACTGTAATTGTTGCGCCCCCGACCACGACTAAGGCCACGGTTTTGTCTTCTTTTCAGATTTATGATGAGTTACCACATTCACTTCAGGGAATGGGGTAGAACCAGTGGGGTGGGCTTCATGATTTTTCATAAGTAGCTCATTGTTTTGCTCAGCTACAAGAAGGCAAATATTTCTTAAACCCCTTTTCACAATACTGTTGCGGCAGGAGCACATTTAAAGCATGAAAGGTCAAAAATGTTTTTTCTAATAAGTTCTCATCAGTATTCTATTCACCACATATTTTCAATTGAGAACTTATTTTAAAAACTGCCGAACTGTCACTTACAGTTTTAAAATCTTGTAGCCTCAAGTGCATCCACTCGTAACGAAGATGATGACGAAGAAAAATCACGGCCTTAGCCTTATCTTGGCTGGATGCTCATTTTTCTTTAGTAATCGTGTCCCCAAGTCCTTTAGCATCCAAAAGAATTTCAACATCAAGCACCCATGATAAATAGTTCTTGCCCGTTATATCGAGCGCAGCAAACTCAAGTTTTATCAAATTCGACATAGTAGACCCTAGTACACAAGAACAACAAAGATAATTAAAAGAAATTCAACAAATAATAAAATAGTAGTAAGGGATAATAAAATAAAATATAACTATTAAAGATCACATAAACTAATTTGTTTATAGGAATTCGTTATGTTGTAAATAACAAGTCAATTTATATTATTCCCTTCAAGGAAATATGAGTTCCTATGACTTGTCTAAATTTCACAATAGCATTTTTAACCTTATAATGATAAAAAAAACCAGTGAATTATAAATACTCAAAATTATCCTTACTAATAATCATTAATAATACATTCACTTCAGGGAATGTAAAATATTTGATCAATAATAAAAACATTCATTTCAAGGAGTGTAAAACAATGACACATTTATTTCAGGGGATGTGAAATTATATTGAATAATATAGATACATTCACTTCAGGAAATATCTGAAATTATTTTGGCACATTCACTTCAGGGAATGGTTACCATTCGTTTCTTGGAATGGTATTTGTTATTATAAACGAATTATAAAACAGCAAATTTAAAAAGAATATAATAAAAATATGTATATGAAACATACGTAATATATATAAGGTTAAATCAAACGTATCATATATAAAAGACATTATAACAATATATATATAATATATAAGCAATAACAAAGATACTGCTAATAATATATAGTTCGATGATTCGAGTTTAGATGTGATTTTATGTGAGAGTTTTTTATTATAACAAAAAATTAGATGTGACTGTTTCTGAGAAATTTTTACTGTAACAAAACTCAAATTCTAAACTCGAATCGATGAAATGAACGATACCTATGTAAGTAATAATAAGGTATAAAAAATAAAGTAATATAAAACATAAAGAATAACCAAAAGTATAATATAATTATATATATGTGTATATAATATTATCATATAATATAAACGAAAACATAAAGTAAATATAAATGTAATAGAAAACATAAACAATAAAGGAAAAATAATATGATCATATATATATATATTAAACAGTAAACATAATCGGTATATATTATATAATATATATGTATATATAGGTAGGTATATATAAACGGCATATGCAATGGAAAATATAAATATAAACGGAGCAAATCTAGTAAGAAATTGGATGTATAAATATAAAAGAAGCAAACGTAATATAAATACATATATATATATAAACGATATATATATATATATATATGTATATGTAAACGGAACAACATAATATAATACAAAATAAAGAAAACAAAGTGTATATATCAATACGGCACATGGTAGAAGATAAAGAATTTAAATATATCGGCAACATTAGTTGAACGAAAATAATGAGTGGGTAATAGAATTACCTCCTATAGTTTTTTTTTTTTTTAACACGAAAACCACTTTAGAATTAAACAGCCAAATCGGCAAGTACAACCGAAGATACAAAGTAAGGGATCATATAAACCCCAATAAAATTCTGTGAACAATTAAAGCCAAAGGAAGCTAAAACATGAGTAACATTATTACCACTCCTGTTTATATGAGAACACTCCCACCTCCCCATAAAAGATAATAACCGAACAATATCCTCTATAATAACACCTTCTTTGCCCATCGTTAAGCTTTCCTTGACCGCTTGAACTACACGGACAGCATCAACTTCAGCCACGCTGATGGATAACCCCCGCTCTTGTGCGAAAATTAGGCCTTCCCGAAGGGCCATGCATTCAGCTAAAAAAGGTGAGAAAGAACCCGCAATCCTCTTCGCCAGACAAGCACATACTATTCCTTCCCCATCCCTGATGACAGCGCCTATCCCAATGGAACTCGTACCCTCCCGAACTACCGCATCAGTATTAAGCTTCAGAAGTCCAGCCGCCGGAGGTTTCCAGCGTACTTCACTAACAGGCACCGTAGTCCGATGTTTGGCCGCCGGATCCCAACAACTCTGAAAATCAGCAATTGTCCGCCCAGTTGTACCTAGGATCTCCATCGGCTCCCGATATACTCGGTGATGTACAAATTGATTCCGAGCCGCCCAAATCGCCCACGCCAGTACACAGAAAAGTTCAAGATCCTCTCCAGTTGCTTCTTTGTTAAACATGACGCATAGAGCTTCAAAACCTCCAGTGTTGAGAGGCTCTAACTTGTGCCAAAGGGCACTCACTTCCCACACCTGAATAACAGTAGGGCATATCCATAGAGCATGCCAAGTAGACTCCTCCTCCTCACCACATCGCTGACATCTCGTTGCACAATTAATCCCCCTCCTTGCTAAATTGGCAAAGGTTGGTAAAAAACCGGAAGCTGCCCTCCACATGAAATTCTTGATTTTATTCGGGATATGAAGATCCCACAGTTTCCTCCACCACACACTATCCCCTCTCCCTCCAGAACTACTAGGCGAATTTCTTAGACCCATGGCCAGCTTGTAGCTGGCACGAGCAGAATAGAGCCCCTTAGAATCATAATGCCACACCCAGAGCTCTTCACTAGAGCCACAATTCAAAGGCATGTTGAGAATAATTTCTTGATCAATAGGGAGAAAAATATGACGAATTAGCTCCCGGTTCCATTGCCTATTAATAATAAGATCATCCACCAACCAATCTTCAGTTTCTTCAGTCACTGCCGTAATTGGACGGAATGAATGAGGTCTAGGGATCCAAGGGTCCCTAAAACATCGAATGGATTTCCCAGAACCAACACGTCTACGGATGCCACTCTTCAACAGTTCTCGTCCCCATAATATACTACGCCAAGTATATGAGGGGTTGTGTCCAATATAAGCATCAAGAAAATCACCCTTTGGAAAATACTTAGCCTTAAAAATCATGGCCACCAAGGAGGAAACATTGCTTCGCCAGAAGTGCTTGATTAAACGCTCCCACATCACAAAAGCCCATACCCCCATCTCTCTTAGGACGACATAATAGCTCCCACTTTGCCCAATGAATCTTCTTCTCAGTGTCGTTGCCGCCCCACCAGAACCGCGAAATCATAGCTTGAATCTCCTGACAAAGAGTTTGA